TTTAAAGGGGGAAACCATCACTATACAATACTATTTTAATATAATTGTGTGTGTGTGTGTGTGTGTGTGTGTGTGTTCCATACAAGTATTAGTTAACTGTTGAGTATAATTGTCAAATAGTATTTGATGAGTGGACATTATTAGACAATGTATGTATTTGCCTTGAATTAGATTATCATAGCCTGAAAAATGCATAACGCTTCTAAATTTGAAGCTAGCGTATATCTGCATTTACTCTTATATTGTTTTGTACCAATAGCTAACAAATTAACCTTTGGAAGTACTGCAAAAGTGTTATAGTTTTACCATTACCAACAGCATTTTTAGAAATATTTATAGCTCTACATCTAGCTATAACTGGGTGCACAAGGAGTTCCTTTAGATCAGAATGAGCTGTAATCTTCTGGAATCATTCTTCTTCAAACTCTGCAATGGGGTTCTTAGAATACGGTAATGTATTGGGGAAACCAAACCAGTCTCGTTAGTTTATGTCATACGAAACCAAGTAACAGTCAGTTGCGAATGCAACCGAAGAAGGGCGAATGCACCGAACAAAAATAGCAGCAAATTGCCAATACCCCAATTACTGATGACTATCATAATTCTGAATGGAGGGAGATTTCGACCTGCCCATTTATATACTAAGATGACTTCAATATTAGGGGGGGAAATAATACGAGCTTTTAATTCAGGAGAACAGAGGTGTACGGCACAAACAAAACGAACCGAAGCCATCCGGAACAGCATCCCAGTCCATCAGGATCACCCTGGGGGGGGGGGAAACACCATGATATGACGTCACAAGCGCCTTCGGCCCGGAACGGAGGTTTTATGAGCTTTATCCACCAAATCCGGAGCGGCAATACTAGGAAAGTTCTTCCATCTCTCAAGCTAAGAGAGGTGGGTGGCACCCTCCTTCAACCTAACGAGTATTCATAAACGCAATCCAGCCTCGCACCCAGGCCCAAGGGGACGGTACTTCTCTCGCCGCTCCGCCCCTTCACTATGGCGCTCCTCTGAGTGGGCGTATCTAAAAACACGACGTGCCCCGCTCCCTTGCTGAATATTGATGAGGCGTCTTTCGAAGCGTGTTGTCGTCTCCCCTGGCGCGCCCTCCAATTGGTCGAGGCCGTGTATGCGTGCTGACGCACATCGCGGCGGTGCGGGTCCCGATTGCTGCAGCCGCTTGTCAGTGTGACGAAGATTGGCACCCAGGTAAGCGCTGTCACTCAAACCTGCTCTTAGCCAGCCAGCCATCCATCACGGCGCGCCCGCCACCAGTATCGGCCGGCTTGGCTCAGTTGCGCCAACAGATCCGGGATGTGCGGGAGGCATGGGGGGAGGTGAACCCGCAACATGGAAAAGCGGGATAAGGGCATAGGCACCGTAACTTACTCGGAGGGGGGTTAGGGGCGTCGGCGGTCTGGAGCGAGGAAGGAAAGGGAGGGGGAGTGAGGAAGTTTCTGGAACAGCCGCCGACTGGCCGTTGCTTTTGTAGGAGGAGGAGGCGGCGGTGGCGGCGGGCGGCGGCGGCGCGCGCACCGAGGCAGGGGAGGTGGCGCGCGCCTGGAGGTGGGAGGGGGAGAGAAAAGGGAAGCAGCTGTTCGTGGTGCGACGGGTGGGGGAGCCGCGAGGGCGGTATTTAAAGGGGCCGTTTCGGGGGCATTCCTGTAGACCTGGAGTAGCAGGAGAGGAATTGAACAATCAGCGGGGTTTCCCCTACAGCCGCTGTTCCTCACTCGCTTCTTTTTCTAACGCGCTCGGGCTCTTCAGTCTGTTCTCGCCTAGGCGTGAGAGAAAAGCCCTCCCCGCTCCCCCCCCGTTCTTCCACAGGTTCACAGCTCCCTTTTCGGAGCTTGAAATAATCTCCCTTTTGCACGTAAATTGACGGGGGGGGGGGGAGGAATTCATAGTGAAATATTGGGAAATCCGAGGGGATTGTTGTTATGTAATCTGGTTGTCAACAATAAACGTGGAGGGGAGCTCTATCTCCGCTTTGTTTCTGAGCCGTCTTTGGGTGTTTGCCTAGCGACCTGTTTTCAGTCATGTAAAAATCAGGAATATATATCTATCCCACGAATTTGTATCCCCTGGCTAAGTTGAAAACGGCACTAAGTGACGTTAATGCCAGAGCTTGGCAAAACTGGAAATACGAAATATTTTTTTATTCAAGTACTAAGTGTTGAGTATGTGAGCAGATAATGTGTACTTCTTGCCCTGTTTGATATTGGTTAGCATTTTGTAATAACCACTAGCTGTGTTTATTGTGATAGTTGAAGATTGCAACTTGAAAAAGAACGCTAGTTTTCCACTTCATTAGTTACAACAGTAAGCATTTAAATGAGTGAACAAACTGTATCTTTCAAAGTTATACTAAGAACCTTTTTCCGATAATGCACTTCGAAGTTTTAGATCCCTTTTTTTTATTTTGAGCACCAAAAACAGCAATAATATAAATAATGCTGCAGAATTAGTTTAAGCACAGATTTTGAAGGATTCATGATAACGTAAATGCTAGGTGCAAATCTGGAAATTTACCTAATAGAATGTTAATAATCAAATGTCATTTGCAATTTATTGCACACATGAAAATTGCACATGCCTACAGTTTTTACTGGAAGTATAACATTATGCTAAAATATCAAAGACTTGTTTCAAACCACAAATTTTTTTCTGCTTGAAAAAAATGGAACTTTAATATGCATAAATGTAGCAGATGGGTGTGTGTTATCTAATTTTGTATAAATTTTGTTCAGCTGGGAGAATAATATAGGGCATTATAACCAAGTTCTTACTCAAATAATCTTACTTAATCAGTAAGCTCCTGAAATCTTGGTGAGAATTGGGTTCATCTTTTGATAGAAAAGTGGAGGCCGGTGGCACCAAGAATATATATGAAGCTGAAGAAATCCTCCATTCTTGAAAACATTGAGTCACACATGGGCATTTTTTAGTCTTCTGACACTAAATGTTAGAATAAAGTCTTGAAACCAAAATGTTTAGGATGCTGAATAGGCCATGAAATGCTTTCAGATTCAGTCTTCAGTAGGTGCTTTGAATGTGTGAAAATGAAATGTAGCATCAATTTGCAACATTATAAACAGGTGTATCTTCCTGGGATTAATGCAAAAAAAGTTGCAGACAGATACTACATTTGGTGCATTTAAAAAAAAAAAACCCTTGGGTATTGAATTAAAAGTGCTACATAATGCTAAATGTCCTGGTAAATACTGCAGATGAATGTAGTAAGAAATGAGGCTTGTAGGGATGGTTAACTTTACAGAGCTACAGTTACCATTTTATTTTAGTTTAGCGTTGGCTAGAAATGGTTCTTTTAATAACAATTTCAGTAATATAATGCCTACATAGAATAGTAAACTTTGATTGCATGTTGGAATGTATTTTTGACTTCACTGAGCAAAGCAATATTGAAGCTCTAACAAATTGTAAATTGGCAGTTCTAAATAATAGGACAATAATTCAATTGAATTCCCGTTAACTTTCTGAGAATTGATTTTGAAAGACAGGGTATCAATCTAATAATAAAGAATCAAAAGTGATGCATTTCTTGAGAGTCAAGTGGCAAAAAAGTTTTAATATAATTATTGTTACTCCTGCTATTTTTATATTTGTTTGTCTTACTGCTTTGACCCTACCTCACTATATTAGGAATAGTCATTTTCATATTGTAAAATAATTGTTCATCCGAAAATATACTTTTATTTTCTAGTCCAGTTCCACAGTTTGCAATTTGCGTTAACTATTTGACTAAGAGTCACAATCTTTTAACTATTTTAGGAGTATATTAAAGACTTGTTTATAATTACAAGGCAATGGGGCTATGAATGAAGGTACAAGGAAATGATACATTGGTATCCTTTTGCAACACTATTTTATTGTAACTTGTTGCTTGAGACAAAAACTGAAATTCTTTTAAATGTTTCAGTTACTTGGCCTCATTTTTAAATTTTTAATGCTCTGTATAAAGCATATTTTGCATGGGCCTTATATTTGAGTAGTATGCTGATAACCACATCCAAAAAGCAATCTTTTACTTATATTTAATTAAAATAAAACCCTCAGCAGTATAATGGTTACATTCCAATTGTAATTTTCCTACCCTCTTAAAAATTACAATTTTGCAGCCACTCTTTCAGGAATTATAATTGATATCACTTAGTACCTGTGTACACTACCTGCCTGTGATATTTTATTAAAATAATGTAATTTTCTGACATTACTTTCAACTTTACATTCAATGTTAATATAAAATATTTTTAAACCATCATTTAGTTACAGATTTGAGGCAATTATTCAAGATTCAGTTACTTGGACTATTGGTTATTCAAGTTGGGATCACACAGATAATTCTGTTAGCTGGATGGTGTATAAATGAGAACATAAATATTCTAGTCAAAGAGAATTGGGCACAAATGTTCAAATCTTGGTTTCTTGAATCAGATTATGATTTGACATATCAGTTTATAAATGCTGTATTTAGTACTCATTTGGGAACAAGACCTGCTGAAGCAGTAGCAATTTATTGCCAAGTAAAATCCATTAAATGAACTGCTTGAACAATATCATAATATACTAACATATAAGTAATCTATCACAAACATGATACTGTATAATGGCAGCATCAAAATAAAAAGTAACCAAATTACACAATTTCTTTTTCTTGTAACAGTTTGTATTTCTGCTAATGAAAATATTTAATTCTTTGAAGAAGGTATAAGTACAGGTGACTTACAATATAATTGAGCCCCACATTTCTATTACTAAGTGGAGCAGTTGTTAAATGAGTTGTGCCTCAGTTTGCAAATTTTTTATCACAGTTGTTAAGCAAATCACTACAGTTTTTAAGTGAATAATGTTCTGGCTTCTCCCATTGACTTTGCTTGTCAGACGTCAACTAGGAAGGTTATAAATGGTGATCACATGACTCTGGGACAACTGTTATAAATACATGCCAGTTGCCAAGTGCCTGAATTTTGATCATGTGACCATGGTCATAAGTGTGAAAACTGGTTTTAAGTCTCTTTTTAAAGTGTTGTTGTAACTTTGAACAGTTACTAAATGAATGGTTGTAAGTTGAGGACTACCTGTAACTTGCTTTGGCATTGTTTATAATCTGTAGATTCCTATTCAAATAGAATAAGTATAATTCACTTACAAGACTATCAGCTACTCTCTCTGAAAGAAACATAGTTGTGTGCTTTGTGTTGCATCCATCCCACTAATAAAGTCAAAATTGTTTAATTGTGTACTGAAAATCATTCTATAAGACACTTTTCTGCTTTGTTTCATCTGCCATCCCAGCAGAGATGTATGTATTCTGAGCACTTCAAAGCAGCTGCTTTGAGTTTTGGAACAGCTGCAGCTTCAAGAAACAGATCCAGGTATGGCTACTAAGTGGCTCTCCTGAGATCTGGACATGTGTGTGCATGCACAAAATGTGCTTCCTCTGGGATAGCCAATAAGGCAAAGTGCTTTGTGGAATGAATAAATGAGTTTAATTTGGATCACATGTATAACAAGGTATTTTGGCCTAAATTCTTAAATTACCGTGTGCAAAATGTAAATTCTTTTAAGGATTCAGAAATACTGGCTGGTTTTTAAAACAATGTAATAGTTTTTCGGAATAGGAATCTATATCTAATTGTTTACAATTCTATCTGGAATGTTGACATAAGGCAATTTTATTGGGTGTATTTCAAAGTGCTGATTGTCACCTACTACTCTCTTCATGGCACAGGATTTTGTTACTTGCAGGACCAATGTTATCCATGTATCCACCCACTTTGTGGGGTGGGGAGAGTTACAGTGATATGGATATGAATGCTGCTTCAAGAGTAGAACATCCAGGTGTAATATGTTTTTGTTGATGTTTTTATTTTCAACCAGCTATTTGCTGTCCAGAATACTATGTCAAGTGGGTAGCCATGTCAATTTGAATAAATAAACAAAACTTTGCTTCAGAATAAAAGGCTGGATTTAATTTAATAGATTTTAGAGTTATGACAATATTAGTGTAAATTTATGTTCCACATTAGTGAGATTTAGTTTTTATTCACATTCTTTTAATGATATATATATTTAAAGTTGTTACAGAACTACTCATCTCACTATATAGGTTTAATTTAAAACTATAATACTTAAAATATAGCTTACAAGTAATATCATTTATACTGTATTACATATCACTGATAATGAATTTATAGGTAATTGCTTCTTATAATAAATTATTCAACTGACAGTCTCTTTATACTTTAGTAACTGTGTAGGAGATAAGAGGTATGATAATAGTAGCAAGATAGTCCAGTGGTTAAGGCATTAGGTTAGAAAGCGAGTTCAAATGTTGCCTTAGCCATGAAAGCTACTTGGGTGATTTTGTGCCAGTCACTCTCTTTCAACCCAGCCCACCTCACAGGGAAAAATAAGAGGAAGAAGGGGCATTGAATATGTTCACCACCTTGACTTGTTTGTAAATGCAAATAAATAAATACATAATTGTAGGCAGGCATTACTAACTTATATTTGCTATGTTGAATACATAGGAAGAATTTATTACATGATATTTTATAAGAAAAACCTACATATTCAGTATTATAAACTTTTAAACTGTGTCAAGGAAAACAACTTTCTCTGAATAAAAACAATTACAACTGTTTTTTGAGTAGCATTAAAACAGTATGTTGATTTTTTTTTAAAAAATTATTAAATATTTAAGTGAACATTTAAAGACAAAGTGGCATATATTCATATAAATGCACAACATAAATATAATAGTAATTTTTATAATTACAAAGGCCTTGTTACATTTGGAAACATTTAATTCATTGCTTTCTGTGGGCTCATAATCACACTATACTATAATATTAGGATTTACTGCAGTATGTGAATCCACTAATTGTGGCTTAGCATTATAGAAAAAATTGGTCCAATATTTTATTCTGCCACTAGTGATAAAAAAAAAAAAGTTTGGTTTAGTTACTACAAGTTACGGTTTTTGAAAAAAAAGTATAAAACATGTTTCTTCTTAGCTGGATAGTCTACACTATTCTTAAATTCTACTATTTGCTGCACTAATTCTTGTACACCAATTTACAGTAATAAACCAGCATTAAAAAAAATAGGATAGACATTTATTATAAATAAGAAGAACCCTATTAGCCTTTTGTCATTTGAGGGTAAGATATTTATAAAAATGTAGTAATCCAAAAAAGGTTTAATAATGAAAACAACTACTCCAAGAACTGGATTGTTTCTGGCTTGGAACAGATGTGACCAAATATGTATATCACAATTGTTGGAGAACATATCAGGTGTGAAAAGAGGCTCATCACTGTTTCTTGACTTTGCCACAGCATTTGAAAGTGCATTTCAGCGGCACCAACTGCAGAAGATAAACTTGTTAAAATAGCCTCCAGAAGCAGCTGTACAAGGAATCATGAAATTCTGTTCATGGTGAAATGCCTGTATGTACTGAAGTGGAGTACTGTTACATCTTCCTTTCTGTTTAATGATCCACACACACATACTAAAAGTCTTTGCCATCCCCTTTGATGAAGCAAAGTTTGAACAGTTTTAATACTTTGATTCTCAAATTGGCTACGCTGCCTCAACCTATGAAGCATTGACATAGTTCCTCTGGCAAGAAAAAAAAGCAGCGGAAGCATTATTACCAATATGCTTATTGATCACTAATACTATTGATGCTCTTGCTGCATGGTGCAAATTTTTCCAAATGTTCTGCCTACAGAAAATATTAATATTTCAATCTATGATAAAATAGTAGATGAGACAGAATGGCGCAGCAGCCAACCTATGATGGTGGATGAAATTCAAAAACACAGAAATCTGCATAGTTCCATGCTCACTTCCACTGCTGTGAAAATCACCTCCTGTTGGTTATAAAATACAGCAATCTGTTCCAGGAAGATGATGTAACAAATCTTAGATTCAGCCTAAAAGAAAAAAAGCAACTGGCTCACAATAAAGTTGGAGAAATATATTGCATGATATTAGTGGATCCATAACACCTACAGTCACATACTAGTTATATCATGAGTCGTTATCAAATGTTAGCTAAGGTCTTCAAGCTCAACTCAGCTTTTAACAACACATTCAGATATTTTTGTGTTAAGATTTGTCATCAGAAAGTGAATTGAAATTTTAAAAATATAATTATGGAACTAATTTCAAATTTGTTCTTTTTTCTTGTGAACATAGTACTACTTAGAATTCAAATTATAAGTTATGACTGAACTATAAAACACATCATTTTTTGAAAATGCTTTCTTTGTTAATGAAAATAATTTAAATCTGCTTTTCTTATTTCTCCGCTCATGCATAGGCATATCAATTATTTTCTTCAAATGTTGTCTTATATGTTGCATTTTTCTTAATTTAACTTTTGAAACTATCAAAAGTTGTATGCATATTCTTTCACCATTCTTTTCCTGTTTCTCTAAATATAAAAAAATTGTAAAACTGTAAACTTTTTTCTTTTCCTAATATTTTCTTACCCTTCTGTTATATTCTACCGGTAATTCTTTTTCAGTCTATAATTTCTATTGTAACATGTTTTATTTTTCCATAAACATTTTTATTTGACCAATATTCCAATATGAATTTTGGAGGAAATTATGTACTGCTTGGTTGTTGTTTTTTCTTCTTCCACTAGAGACAAAATTGTGTGCCTGTATTCCCACAGATTATTTTACTAGAAGTGTCAAATAGTTAAAAAATAATTGTTGCTTCTATGGTTATAATTAATTCAACTAAATGAAAATTGATCTGCTACTTACTTAGGCATACCCTTCCCAGGAAATGAATACCAGAGGAGTAGTATGATAAGTAATTGAAAAGCTGGAAGTTATTTGCTAAGAAGAGGGGGAAAGCATTGATTGGTAAGCACTATTTATCTTACTACAAGAAAGAAACCCCAAAACCAATACCTTGCTGATCAGAGTCATTATATCAAAAATAATCCAATGAGCAACTTCCGCTGGTCCTGACTCCTGGAATTTCCTTTACTAGCCATCAACCAAATTATTTTCAGTGTAATGTCTTGCAGATCTCCGTACCTAAAGATTGCAATTGCAAGATTTTTCTATTAATGTCTCCAGAGAGAGCCCTCAAAATAGAGAAGTGCTATGTGATAATTTGCTCATATTCTATGCTGATACATTATATTAATTGATATATTTATCCCTTTCACCACTAGAACTTGTTTCTTTCTTTCTTTTTAAAGCATCATGATCCTCATAGGATTTGTTTGAACTATATTTCCATGCAAAATTAAAAAATACAGGGAAGGTTTATTTAAATCCTTCTAGTTTCAGCAGTTAATATCCTGTTTTGAGAATAAGGCAATAATGTCATCACAGAAAAAAAGAAGACTCACCCTGAAATGCTCAATGGCCAGCTTGGAGAGAGATCCAGTTGAGAAACAATGGTACTATTGGTTGCCTATTGGTCTCCGGGTCCAATTCAAGGTGTTGGTTATTACCTTTAAAAGCTCTATATGGCTCAGGGCCAGGTTATTTGCGAGACTGCCTACTACCTCATAGTTCCCTTCATCCGGTTAGATCCCACAGGCTGGGCCTCCTTCTGGTCCCGTCGGCCAAGCAGTGCCATTTGGTGGGGCCGCGGGGGAGGGCTTTCTCTGTGATGGCGCCCACATCTTGGAATCAGCTCCCCCTGGAGATTAGGACCGCTCCCACCCTGTTGGTTTTCCGCAAGCTGCTTAAGACCTGGCTTTTCCGGCAGGCCTGGGGTTTATAAAATCTGACCCCTGGATGAATGTTATTGTATTGTTTGTTTTGTTATGTTAATGTTGTGTTTTTATTGTTAACCGCCCAGAGTCCTGCGGGAGTAGGGCGGTCTATAAATTTTAATAAAAATAAATAAATAAATAAATAAATAAATACTACAGTGATGGGTATTGACATAGACAATATCTTTCACTTGATGGGTATAGATGAAAAAGCTTCCTGATAATACATCTCTTTAACAATATTATATTTCTATATAATGAAGTTCTCTCTTTTAAAAACGGTTAAATGCAGGAAAATTTGCATCACAGTCAGATAATTATTTAACAGTTTTTAAAAGAGAGAACTTCATTATATAGAAATATAATACTGTCAAAGAGATACATTATCAGGAAGCTTTGTTTTGTTTCCTACTTCTATATCTATTGAATGTTAATGGCAGAGCAAAAGAACCCTTGAAGATTCTTGCTTCCTTCCAATGCTCCTTTACTTTTGAGAACTTTGGAGGTTTTTGAAAATGTATAAAGCAAAGTGAAGAAAACTATTTTACCATCACCATTATTGGATACAAACTATAATACAAAATATAAAGCAATTTATATTACCTTACATAGAATATTTTCATGAGGCTACCTGCATATTTCCTTCAATTTTTTGAAAAACCACATATTTTGCCTATTCTTATTACAGTGTACATAATAATTTGAGGTATCATCAAAGATTCTGTGGACTGACTCATCCATATAAGTCACACAGATATAAACTGTGGTGATTGAAAAAAATGCTCTTATCATAACAAAAATGGCTACTTCTAGCCTGTATATGGCCATTTTCAAAACCACATGGGAAAAATATACAACTGGGCTAGATGTGTAAATCATTTTTTTTTTGTAAATTAAGGATGTGATGAATGTGAGAGAGAAGAATTAAGATAGTTATAGATGGGTGGTTACCTGTAAATGTGACAACAGATAAATACAAGCATTTTTGGCTGTGTGTGAGAAATATTATTAAGTTAATCTTTGTGCCTTGGTTTAGCCATTGAACAGTTTTCAGATAGAAAAAGTGTACACTAGTGTGTTAACAGGGATTTAAAAAGAATCATCTGATGCCATGACTGGACCAGTGTCCATATTCATTCAAGAGAGAATAATTTAAAAGAACATTTTTCAAATTCCAAGAAGTTTGGTTTTATTTTCTTCCAGATATTTTTGTGGTACATTTTCTATTTCTATTTATTTTGCATTTGAAAACACATGTGCAATTTGGATGAAAATTATGATTATCAGTATTTTATGATGGTAACAAGCATATGTAATGTTATAGGAAAGAATACATTTTTCAACTGTGTACAGATTTCAATATTTTTATAATTTTCTTTAAAAATACTAATATTCTTTATGGTTTCTTTTCAGCAAAAAAATTGATGTAAGATATGATTTGACTTCAAAGCAATTCTCAGTAACCATGATGGCAACGCAGACATTAAGTATAGACAACTATCAAGATGGGCAACAAGTAAGACATTTTTTCCAAAAGTTCATCTGATACGGATTATCTCTAGTATGCAGAAATCATGCTTCTGACTTATACATTATCCATTTTTTACAAAGTTCATGGATTTAAAATTGGATATTATCTCGTCATGAATCTAGGTTAAATAAGCTCAGTCTACTTCACTCTTCTTGCTGATAGGAATGGTTAAACAGATTAGCATGGAATGCCAACTGGTTTGTTTAGTATAATATGCGAATTGATTTTATAGTTTTCTTTGCCGAACAACTAAGGATCAAAAGCCAGTTAATATTTCTTCTCAACATTGGATTGTGAAGGGGTTAAAGATCCAGAATCCATTATATCTTGAAAAACTTTCTGCAGTTGTTTGAATCTTCTCACTGTCAGAAGCAAAAAGAGTCAATCAGATTCTAATAATATATTGTTGATTATAAAATAAAGTAAAATAAAACTAAGTAGGCATGAAGTGTGAATATAACCAAGGTGGAATCTGAATGGCAGAACTTCCTAATAATCATTTGAAGTATAGATGTTAGGAACCAGAGTGGAACTTGCCTCTGCTGACTTAAGTTCTTTTGCTTGCCTTAAATATTCAGGGAAAAAATGTGTTGAATAATACAAATGTATTCAGCTATTGATTGTGTGTTTTAATAATTGTTTTAGTATAGTTTTTAATTGTTTTAGTTATGTTTTATTAAGACTGTGAGTCATTACTTGTGCCTACATAAGTCTATGTGCCTGAATGAATGAACGAACAAACGAACAAACAACATTGATTTATTTTCATTATAACACTTTTATTTTCAACTGTTTTTTTTTTTTTTCACTGATCTGTTTTCTTCCATTGCCTAAAATGAACTATGGCCACTTTAGTAGAAATCTGCCATTTTGCTAGGGGCTGACCATTGCTTAGAAATGAAAACCACTCATCTTTTTTGCCCTGTAAAAAGATTGGATTTCTATTTCAAACAAATTAGTGGCTGTAATATCTTTGGATTTGTAATGTATTACAAACTAAGATAGATGCTTAATTAAGTCTCATTGGCACATCCCTTCTTACAAAAATAATAATAATAGGCTGCCATCCATTAGCCCAAACCTCCTAACACAATGGGGTCAAACTCAATTTCATTGAGGGTTGCACCAGCATTATGGTTGCCTTTAAAGGGCCAGCTGAGTATGGTTGGGTGGACGTGGTTGCATGATCAGAGTCGGGTCGCCACAACTAGGTGGGCATGGCTGGGGGGGCAGCAGGGCATTGGTGGTAAATGCTGCTGCTTATGGTGGGGATATGAATGGTGGTGGCACGTAGTGGGGGGCAGCCAAACTGCCATTTGGTTTTAGGCTGGAGTCCAGGTGCAGAGGAAATGGCAGTGGAGAGAGGCCAAAGTGGGAAGCCCCTGCCCACTCCTGGCGGCTTCCCATTTTCACGCCCCCCCCATGTTCTTGCATCTGCACGTGGACTCTAGCCTGACACCTAAGGTTGGTTCAGTTACTGCCTCCACTGCCTGCCCCCACCGTTCAACCCTCTACACACTGCCAGTAGCCGGCCCTGCCACCCCTGCACCGCCAGCACCAGCAGCACGCAAACAGTGTTTCCCTGCCACCCCACTGCCAGTAGGCCAAGGCAAGTGGAGGGGTGGGCATAGCCTGGCAAGGAAGGGGGTGGGGTAGCCTGGTTGCATGGCTCCAGGGTGCACGGGTGCAGTGTGCATGGGGTAGCTTCGGGGCTGGACTCGGGGAAGAGCGGGGAGGGGAGTTCCGGCTGCTTCTTGTGGATGAGGGCTCCCCATCCTTCCTGTTCTCCAGGGCTGTTGGGGGGGTTGGCAGCAGATGGGAGGCTTGTCCCATATGTGGGTTGGAGCTGGAGGATAAGGTTGGACAGCTGAGGCCAAGTGGGCAGGGGTGGCAGCATGGTGGTGACACAGCAACTGGCTGGGGTGCTTCTTTGCAACCCCACCGTCTGTCTTTGCTTGCCCACAGCCACTGCTGCAGGGATGGGGCGGTTGGGTGGGGGTGTGTGCCCAGCATGTCCAGAGGGCCAGATTGTGTGCCTTCCTTCTGTGTCTATGCCTCCGCCTGCTGCTTGGAGGGCCAGCCCAGTGGCAATGGCGCTCAGACTTACCTGCACTGTGTGGGCTATGGAGCCCAAGGTGCGGTTGCTGAGGGCTCAGCACCTCCCGTGTGCATGTCTGGTGGGGCACCCAGCTAAGGTGGGCCGGGGTGGCAAGAGCCAGTTCCTCACAATCTCTGGGGAAGCCCCACAGGCTGGATCTGGGCCCATTGCAGGTCAGATTTGGCCCACGGGTCTTGAGTTTGACATGTCTGTCCTAACACATTCAACTAAGGAGATCCTACATTTTTTACTAATGAATCCCTAGATAAGTAGAAAGAAATGTACTTAGAATTTTTCTGCCCAATTCCAAACCTTACGCCAATGTCGAAATACAAACATAGTTGTGTTATTATGCAAAGTTGTACATGGAGAAGATTTTAACAAAGAATTCCCATATTAAATAGCTTGAAGCTATAGATATAAAAAAGAATTTATAAGGGGAAAGAGCGATAAGGGGGGAAATTAAAAAAAGTCAATCATATATGCAAAATTCCAGATCATGTCAATTAGCTAGTGTAGTTAAACTGTTTATTTATTAACTGATTGAATCAGTTTCCAAAATTTTTCACATACTGTGTCCTAACAAAGGAATAGATTTGTGCCAATCTGAAACATTTATCTTAATTAAAGTTTTTTAATTGGAAGGATATTTAAACTTTTTATGTTTTTGACCTGTGTATACATGTACATATAATAGTAACATAAAAAATAACACTTGAGTTTGATTCCCGTTGATTGTATGGAGAAGTGCATGCAACTTTTTTAGGAATGATATACTTGTATGTCAACAGCAAGACACAGAAAGATTGTTAACAGATCTGCCTGGTTATATTATCATTGCTTAAATCTTCAGTTTATGATCAACCACAATTACTTACTGAGAAAAGATATAAGAAAAATCATATGTCTATATCCATCTTTTTATTTTTGTTAACTGCTTGTACTTTTTGTACAGTTGCCAAGTCATACCAACTTTCTGGCCATTTAGTAAGCTCTTTGCTCTCCCCTTTGCTTGGAAAACAAACCATTTTCAGTGCAGCTGGTAATATAAAGCATCTTTCTTTTCTAGCAAATGCAAGTAGTAACAGAATTAAAAACTGAGCAGGATCCAAACTGCTTAGAAACAAATGCAGGAGGATTGAGCCCTTCCCCAGTTGAATCTCAGACACCGATGGATGCAGACAAGCAGGCTATTTACAGGTAGTACTGTTGACCAATCTAAGTGGTAAAATATATTATTGTCTTTAATCTGTAGAGTGATTGTTTTCAAACTAAGGGTGAAGTTTCTGGGATGTAGTAGGAAATCACAGTTGAAAGAGACCATACAAAACTCAATAAGAGGATAGGATTCTGAAGCCTTCTTCCTTTCAGTATCCAAACTCTTCTGTGTTTCACCACTGTAGCCAAAGTTGAGAACTCCTGCAATTTTATTTTCTTGGGTGAGGTCAGGTATACCTTATACAATGCTAGTATAAAATTACGTGGTATAGAATAAGTATCGATCCAAGTGCACACACAATGTAGAATCAGTACTTAAATAGCTACTTGAACTCAAACATTTAATAGCAAGCGCACCAACAAACTTTATATATTTTGAGTTCTTGATTAAGTCGGATACATGTCTTCAGCCATTTTATTACATACTTAAGTTAGTGTTCTTCATGTTTACAAGAGAGTAAGTTCTATTAAAGTGAGGCTGGCAACTTACTGAACTAGCGTAGGATAGCAGTGCATATTCTGTTTATTTAAGTAAGATTTTGTAATCTTTATTTCAGATTAAGAGTTTCTGTTTTAATATAGATTTTAAAATGTTCATATTCATTATATTTGTATCTCACCACAATCATGAGCAAACTCTTGGTGCTTAGAACTTGAAAAAAAAATAGTAAATAACAATAAAAAATAAATTTACACTTGAGAATGCAATATAGTTTCTTCCCGACAATGCACAAGTAGATTTAAACAGTAAACAAATGATTAGTTTTCTATTCCAGGTTACTTTAGCCATGAATATGTAGATTTTAATTGTTAATGTAATTTATTTTATTATTATGCGATGTCTAAATTATACATATTTTGTCATATTGACTTAGAGAATTTCTTTAGTCTTATAGTTTGCTCATCTTTAATTCCTAGGCACCCACTGTTTCCCTTATTAGCACTGTTATTTGAAAAATGTGAACAATCTACACAGGGTTCAGAAGGCACAACATCTGCAAGTTTCGATGTAGATATTGAAAACTTTGTTAGGAAACAGGAGAAGGAAGGAAAACCCTTTTTTTGTGAAGACCCAGAAACGGATAATTTAGTAAGTAAAAACATTTTAGGAAAAAAAGTGACATATTAATTTATGTTTCTTTTGTTGTATTTATACAAATCTTGCTATTTTAAAATTATGTTTATTTTAACTCTATTTCTTTCCTTGAAACCTGCAATAAAGTATTCTTTGTTTCCAACATGGCCATCATAACAAATAAATATGGATCAAAGGAAGGAAGTATTTCTGCATACATTTCCAAATAATATTTGGCAAACTGACCTTTTTTCCATTACTTTTTGACTGTCCATTGCCAATGATTTTTAGTAGCTTAACATATAAAAACAGTAAAAATATGGCCATCTCCTCATATAAACAAGCTGTGCATCTCCACAAACTACCACAACCCCTAGTAAAAGAGATTGTTCCCCCAAGGAAGTTTCTTTTTCCCCCTCTCTTTGTTAGATAGTTTCATTTAGGGAATAAAATGAAGTTACAAAGTGCCTATCTATTTAAATGACTACAAATTCAGAAAGCACTGAAATAAAGTATTTTTTTAAAAGATCATTAAGCAAAATCTGTCAAAGTTTGTATTCCAATTAATGTTTAATGAACTGGTTGTTAAATAATATACAGGTGGTCCTTGACTTATGATAACAATTGAGCCCAACATTTCTATTGCTAAACAAATCAGTTATTAAGTGAGTTTTGCCTCATGACTTTTCTTGCTGCTGTTAAGTGAGTCGCTGCATTTCTTAACTAGTTTTTTAGTAACATGGTTGTTAAATGAATCTGGCTTCCCCATTGACTTAGCTTGTCAGAAGGTTGCAAAAGGTGATCACATGACCATGGGACACTGCCATTTTCATAAATACAGTACATGCCAGTTGCCAAGCATCTGAATTTTGACGATGTGACCAGGGGGATGCTGCAATGGTTATAAAGGTGAAAAATGTTCATAAGTCACTTTTTTTCTGTACTGTTGTAACTTCGAACAGTCACTAAACTAACGATTGTAAGTCGAGAACTACCTGTACTGCAAAGTAAAGCAGCATTAGCCAGTTTTTTTTTTATGAAAGTCAAACTCAAGGTTTATATGAATTCTGTTGTATAACTTGAGTAGCAGTATAGTGTGATTTTCAGAAACCTTCTCCAAGTGACTTTGGTATTTTAAGGTGAAACTTAACAGTAATCAAATGAAAGATCCTCTCCGTAGTCATTTTCATTAAAAGAAAGGAAACAGTGTTCTCTGCTAGACTTTTCCTCCCAAATCTTAGCATTTCAATTACATTCAACAGCCATGTAGGACATATTTTTGTTTCTTTCTTTTTAATAAAACATCATATTTTTATTTATAATTGTCTTGTGTTGCTTAAAAAGTAAAGATTAGTAGATACTGAAAGACAAGAATATAAATATAGTAAATCTGTTTGCCAGCAAGTTTTATTCTACTCATGTTTAACATTAGGCAAAGCCCTTTTTCTCTAAACATATTATTGTTACTACTATTATTGTTTTGTGACTTTATTCTGTGTATTTAATCACATCTTTCATTTTAATGATTGTAAATTATAGTCACTGAACTTTATTGCAAACTCTGTCACTGAGACTGGATATAAATACAGTATTGTCAATAAATGTAAATGACGCGCAGACGTTTTTGTATGTTGTTTTAAAATTCTGTTTGTTTATTCTCAGATGGTAAAAGCAATTCAGGTTTTACGAATTCATCTGCTTGAGCTAGAAAAAGTTAATGAGCTCTGTAAAGATTTTTGTAGTCGTTATATTGCATGTCTAAAGACTAAAATGAACAGTGAAACTCTGCTAAGTGGGGAATCTGGGAGTCCTTATTCACCAGTACAACCCCAGGTAACTTTCATGATAAATGAAGCTTATTTTCTTAATTGTTTTGTAATGTACCATATTCCAAAAAGATTCAAGATAGATAAATGTAGATTTTTAAAAATTTAAGTATAATATGCCATTTTAATAATTTGATTGAATGCATAACCATACAGTTTTAAAATAGATGATCTATGACTTGCCAATTAACAATGTTTAAGTCTTTGTGATGTTATTAAAAATACCAGGTCTCCCTTGTGCAGTTCTTAGTAATCCGGTACATGAAATTGTAATTCTTAAAGAATGACTATAATTTGTCAACTCTTTGTCTGCAGTCCAGCAACTTTAAACATGATAAAGATAGCTTGGATTTGCTGGAGCAGCTGTCTTCATGGAAAGAGTCACCAGAAAATGTGAGCAGTAGAGCAAAATTGACACAATTATCATTACACTTCTTTGGCACTGTTTCCTTGGCCTAAGTTTTGGGTTGGCTTTGTTCATCTCATTGCAAATAATGGCCCAGTCCATGATAGGGAAGTTCTCAGTGCAGGAAGAAAGCTTTTGATAGCTCTCCATCATATACACAAGACTTAAGAGCATAAAGTTCTTCTGATTCAATAGCTAAATCTAAGCATAAGAAACCATAGGCATAAGAGACCAGATGAAAAAATATTAATGAGCAGAAATCACTCATCTCATGAAATGCCTCTTGTCCTAATTGACTTATGTCGGGAGAGGAATTTAAGAAAATCTGCTTGCAAATATTAGACTAAGTCAATTTGGAAACAGACTGTTACCCCCTTTTTGCACATCCAAGTACCTCTTGACACAGTATTAATTGCACTGTTTTCTGCCCTGTTAAGATGAGAAACACGGAGAAACACTAATGTTTAAGCCTTATGGCTTCACATAATTAAACAACAACAAAAATCTTGAAGTTCCCCTATAAATCCAATAAAATAAAATTGAACCGTTTGTCTTAACCACCCAAAGTATATTAAGCAAGGCCACTGGCAATCCAAAGATCAACCACCATTGCATTAACTGAAGGCATGAAAAGCTAACCTGAAACAATACGGATTATAAATGTCCATCACTAACCTATGGGCCTTTATTTTGCTGCATAACATTTTTATTATTAAAATGTGTCCCAATTGGCAATTGAATTTTTATAATAGTAATGGAAGTTGGGTGATTTTTCCACCAGTTTAAATAGTTATTAATTTACTATTTCTGTTTAAATTTAAGTAGTATTTACATTTCAGAATGAGGTCTGCCAAATTAAATTCTTGATTTATTGGATCAGAGTTTATGGAAGATAAAATGCAATAGTAAATAAATCTCTGTGTGATAATTTATGAACAGATAAACAACACAAGCATAAAATCCAGTTTGGATTTAATGGACATTCTGTTCTAACCCTTCCTCACTATTATACCTCTACTAAAGGCACTATATTGCTTATGAATAGGCTGTCAGGGCCAATCCAAAATGCTGGTGTTAAAGGTAAAAAAATCCTCAACAGTGCAGTGCCTGGATATATTGGACAATAGCTTGCAAAATTGATTCTTCCCATTCAGTCTGGTCCTCAAGAGATAACCTGAAAGTTCTCATCATTCTTGTGGTTATTACAGGAATTCTCTGAGAGAGCCCCTACCTTTGGGGATACATTTCGCCCAGAGGTCCAAGCATCTCCCACTTTCCTGAAATTCCATAAGCAAATTCAAAATGTTTTATTTCCACATGTTTTTGACTTCAGCTGCATGACTGATGCCAACTATTTTGGTTTGACCTTTGCTTTTGATGGTTTGTTTTTGATATTGATTTGGATTTAGTTATTCATTATTATTATTTTATTTTATTTTGGGGGATGGAGGTAGGGATGTTGTGTGCTGCTCAGAGACGCTTGAGATTGGAATGGTATAAGTGCTATGAAAAAATAAATCCATTAAATAGTTTATTATATTTATCTTTATTACTATAAGAACCCTCCTAGAAACCCATTGGAAGCATATATTTATCATTACAGAAGAAAAAATAAGTTAATTATGAATAGTCTAAAATATGGATATATGTTTTTAGAAATTTGTTCATTGAATTTCATTGAACATTTCATGCCAACCTCATGTCAACTTATTAAACTGCATTCTTGCAATTCATATATTAGATTGTATTTTATTTGATGATTTACTAATCTGAGTAAATATTTTAAACTTTAGCAAAATATTTAAAAAATCATTTTTGCTGCTTAGGTTTAAAATGCTCAGGAGATCTTTAAGACTGAAAGCCTGTACAATTTATTTATTCTTTCTTTTTTTAAAAAATAAAATCTAGGTAAAATACCAATAGCCATTTCCAAATATTCCTCCCATTATGTCTAGCAATTTGATATACAAATTCAAGCTTTCATTATGTAATAGTATTGAGTGGTACAGGAACTAGTGTGTGGTTTAATTATAACTCCACATTATTATGACTGTTTAAACTATTCTATGAATATTTCAGTATTGGAAAGAGAGCTAACTTTTTAGAATCAACATACACAATTTATTGCTTGTTTATTCTTTTCATTGAATTTTTTTTCATAACAGGCTTTTTAAATCATACTTATCAATCAACATCGTATTTTTTCAATTCTCTGATTTGAAATTATTTAACTGAAATCATGGGAACATTCATAAATATAAGGCTATGTAATTCTTGTTGTTACTCTTTCTAGCCAATTCAAAGTGCCATCACAGGTACACTGAGTCCCCAGGGGATTGTGGTACCTGCATCAGCACTGCAGCAGGGAAATGTAACTATGGCAACAGTTGCAGGTAAGAAACACTAAACATTCAAATGTTGCATTTTATCTAAGTGTGTGAATATATGTGTTTATGTGCTTCTGGCTGTTTAATAGTGTCTAAAGAGAAAAATGTTATAAAAGTTATTCTTAATACATGCTACCTATTTATCTTGAGATGAATGGAGCACCATTTTAAACAATAGCTTTACTTTTCAAAGAGTAATTGTCTGGTCTTACTCTTCTTATGAGCTAATGAAAAAAAATGAAGGCAAAACATATATTTGAGTAATTAAAAATATTCACAGCATAATAACTAATTTACCTAATAATATTAAATATAGTTAAAACATTCTTAGTTATGTACGTGGCGGAGGTTAAAAAGTAAAAATGCTGGTTTTGGTAGCAATATCAAAACCCTGACTCTCTTGTTTATGCACTGGCATCATATATGTATGCAAAGGAGCAGGGCTTCAGTTGCACTATTGAGACTGCCATTTTGACTTTTGGGACCTTGGGGGGACTCTTACCTGAATTTCTGCTTCCATAAAAGTAAAACATTCTATGGGATCAGAAAAAATAATCAGTTTTGCATTTAAAAAATAATTTTATGTTTTAAACATACCTACATCCTGTATCTCTAATAATAACTATCAATTAATCTATTATCTCTTGTTTCGTTATTTACTTGATTGCTGCATTCTTTTAAGGTGGCACAGTATATCAGCCAGTAACAGTGGTCACACCTCAAGGACAAGTAGTAACACAAACACTGTCACCTGGAACCATCAGGATCCAGAATTCACAGGTTTGTTTCACTCACTTCATAGAGTGGTTTAAAATGGGAGGAGAAGTGAGGATTTTAATAAGCTGTGGAAAACATAGATTGAAAATACAGGTTGCCTGTATAATAGTTTAATTTTTTTTTTGATATGTGAAATGTGGGGGAAAAGTTAAAAAACATCTTCCTATACCCATCCATAAAATGAGTGGCAGGAACTGCGTTTAATTTTCAATATTCAGAATCAGAGAGATCTCGGAGGGCACAAAGAAAATTTGAGTACTCATACATCAGAAGGGCCACATCTTTGTCCCTGACAGAATATGTTGTTTTACACATTACAGTGTTCCTGATTTTCCCCCATAAATATAAAAAGGATAAATACTGCTTGTAGAGAATCCATATTCATCCATTTTAATATGCAGTTTGTGAATACTATGCTTGAATGTTCACATAAAATAAAATTCCACTAAAATTCCCTATACATAGAAAACATCTAAAGAGCACAGGGTTAAAACTCTTTCTCCTAATCTGATAGTTTTTCATATGTTCTGTTAAGAACCGAGCACTGACATATATAGCTTTTGCATACAATCTGAAACAGTACATGTGTAGCACTCCTCTTATTTTTAATGCAAAATATGTGCTTTTTAATTATTCTTATGAAATATTAAGGATTTTTGATTAAATCTATAATGTTTTAATAAAGTTGTGCTATTGCATAGCTCCAGTTACAATTAAACCAAGATTTAAGCATCTTGCATCAAGATGATGGATCATCAAAGAATAAAAGGGGCGTTCTTCCAAAACATGCTACAAACGTGATGAGATCTTGGCTTTTCCAGCATATAGGGGTAAGAATTGATCTCAGTGATTGGGAACACTTTTTAAAAAAAATCTTACTGATTATAATTTTACCTATTTTATTGATTATGTGCCATCAAGTTGGGTTGAGTCTTCATGACCAGGAACTGTCCCCAACTTGCTCCTTCTAATCTTCCAATGGTGCACACATTGCTGCTGTAATTGACTCCATCTGTCTTTTCTCTGGTCATACTCTAGGACTTCACACATGGTCAATAATTTAAGCTTGATCATTTGTACTTTGAGTGAGAACTCTGGATTGATTTATTCAATGATTCATTTGCTTGTTTGCTTGGCTATTTTCTCCTGTACCAGTTTCATTAAGGACAATACTTTATTCCGAAATGAAATGTTTACAGTCTATTTCTATAGCTCCTACTGAAAAACAAGTTAAATTGATTTGCTAACGATGAATCAGACCTTCAGTAACGCTCTTATGTAAACTTGTGATTTTCTGGTTTTATTTCATTTGTATGAGGATTTTTTTTTTAAATCATGTGCTCCTTCAATCAGTAGTCTTTTGAGAGCTATAATTAAATTTCTGTCAATCTAAGCATTTCCTCAGGGTTTGGAAGAAATTCATTATATAAAATGAAGTTTAGTTATATGCAGAAGCAGGATTCTTATGTGATTTGTTTTACTGAATGTACTCCATACTCAAAGGGCCCCATGTGTTGTTAGTTTAGGATCACACATTTATCTTGTGATTTATATAGTCATAATCAGCTTATTCATTAATTGAAAGATCATATAAATGTTGCCAGAAGTTTTTTTATTTTACATACATGCTCTGTCTATATAATAACATTTAATCCATGGGTACTACATAGTGCTGTTGGTTTTCATTAAAGGAGACAGCATTTTACAACTTTTATTATATCCATAATCAAACGATATCCATCATCAAATGTATTATAGAAATAGAATTCTACTGTCTCTCTAGTAAGTTGAGATGTTGATTTTTTTCATAATAGAAAATACAAATCAAAATAAAATTAATGGGGAAGGGAAAGGGGGGGGAGGAAAAATATGGGAAGGGGGGAAGAGGAAAAAAGGGTTAACTTCTAACTTTTTCAGAACAGTAGAATAAAAATAGTAATTTATATCTTCAACTTTTTACTTTCACTTACTTTCATACTAGCCATTTCTACAACAGTAGACTTGGAGATATCTGTTTGAACAAAATGGATTGGATATGCCTATTTTAAACAGTCTGAGCAACGTACTCATATGCAACGGTAACAAATAATCATGCTATTGCACTATCAAGGAACATTTCTTGACATACATCATCTTCCCTTCTGATGTACAATATATAAGATCAACTAATACTAAACAGAGAAAGAAAAGAATTGCATCTGCATTATTGTTCTTTGTTGGAGATTTGCTTTAAAAGTTCAGACTTCCAGCTTCCCAGTCTCCAATCAAGAAACAGGTAGCTGGATTGTTGAGTACTCCAACTCAACATGATGCTATTAAATGCCAAGTCTATCTGTAATAAAGCCTACTTTGTCCATTATGTAATTAAGGAGAGGCTAGACCTGGCCTATGTTCCTAAGACCAGGCTGGATAAAGAGAAGTCCCTCTCATAGAATTTTGTGCAGATGGGTTTTGAATTTTGCATCAGTCCCAACCTGAGATAGAGGAATACCAAAAGATTTTAGCTGTTATGAGGGCACTGTTCCAAAACGGGCAGGATGTGAGGCCTTGTTCATGATACTGGGACAAAAGGGGAAAGTGGGGTACTTCTATTCTCCTCCCAGTTATATAGCAGCATCCCCCATTCAGCTACTTGACTTCATTGCAGAGGAGGTTATGGATTCAGCTAGCCTGTTAGTATTAAGTGATTTCATTTCCCCTCCTTGGAATTGGGGGTGGCTCAGAAGTCCATGGCTACCACAGTAATCATTGGCTTATCCCAAGTCATCACTAGCCTAACTCATGTGACTGGCCATATCTTGTTGGTATGGAACATATGGGTCATGATCCAGTTCTGGCGGACTTTTCTGTCAGTCCATGTCATAAACAAATCACTTCCTCATGATAGTAGGATTAATTGGGGGGGGGCGCACAAACCTTTGCAAGGAGAAGGGATCTGCTAAGATGGTCAAGCACAGATGTTTGATGGAAGTAACAGATTTCCAGATGGCACTTGGGAGTTCCCCAGTGATCTGGAGGATGTTTATTCCACGCCAATGACATTTTCAACAATTCTATTCAGTTTACCAATCCTGTACTTCTCCTTGATTTACTGAGCAGCTCTGTGAAATGAAGCAGTGAAGAAATGCCTGTAGTGATGTAAAAAAAAAAAAAAAAAAAAAAAAAGCAAGGAGTGAATATGTCAGGTTCAAGCTTACTCTGCGACAATAAAAGCAGCATAGCATAATTACTCCCCTGCCCTTATTTTGTTCATGGAATGCTGGCACTATTTAAAGTGTTTTGAATGGCTGGAAAACCTAGTCAGTGTACATTAAGTTGCCATTGTCTGACCAAACATTTATAATAGATACAATTGCTTGTGTATACTCCAATTTGGAAGCTAGATGGACAGAATCTACTGAGATGACAAAGGTGATGCCTTGTAACATTATCTGGGAAGATTTTGAGCCCATGAAGCTTAAGGAAGTGAACAGAATCCTCTGCAATCTGAGTTCTGCCACTGTGGTTTGCACAGGGTTAATTAAAGTGGCAAAGGAGAGGACTGGAGCTGGGGCTATAGGCAACACATTTTTTTAGGAAAAGGGAGGTGCCAGAGAACCTTGCAGAGAGATTGGATTACTCGCTTATTAAAATCCAATGAAACAAAAGGGAACAATTACCATCCTAGGAAGTTTACTGAAAATGGGGAACTGCAGTGGCAAAGGGCTCTGGAAGATACAAATTATTTGGGTCCCTGGCAGTTTTGAGTTCAGACCTGAGCATGGGACAGAAATTTAATTAGTTGTGGATGACACTTGGTTGGTCCCGAATGGAGGTGGCACAACTATTACACAAAAAAGTTTCGCAAAAAGAAACTTTAGCCGAACATACCAAAAAAAAAAACTACTGCAAAAGACAAGCTCAAAACAAAAGTTAAAATAAGAAAATGGTAAGAGAACACCTATCCGACCTTCACGAGTATAAATCACCGGGACCTGACCAATTACAATTACAGAGTTCTGAAGGAGCTGGCAGAACCACTACACCACATCTTTCATAAATCCTGGAGCACCGGGAAAGTACCTGAGGATTGGAAAAGGGCTGATGGGGTTCCCATCTTCAAGAAGGGGGGGGGGAAACGGACCCAGGAAATTACAGACCAATCAGTTTAACATCAATACCTGGGAAGATCCTAGAAAAGATAATCAAAAAACAGATCTGCGAACAACTAGAAGCAAACAAAGTTATAACTAGTAGCCAGCATGGGTTTGTTAAAAACAGATCATGCCAAACCAATTTTATTTCATTCTTCGATAAAGTGACTAAACTAGTAGACCAACGAAATGCTGTGGACATAGTATATTTAGATTTCAGTAAGGCATTTGATAAAGTAGACCACTACCTACTCCTTGGTAATCTAGAAAAAGGTGGAATAGACTACATCACCACCAGATGGAGATGAAGCTGGCTGGCAAACTGTACTCAACGAGTAGTCCTCAATGGCACTACATCCACATGGAGAGAAGTAAGCAGCAGGGTGTCACAAGGTTCCGTCTTAGGCCCAGTACTCTTCAATATCTTCATAAATGACTTAGATGAGGGAATTGAAGGGGAACTCATCAAATTTGCAGATGACATCAAACTGACAGGAGTAGCCAACACCCCAGAAGACAAACTCAGGATCCAAAAAGGATGTTGACAAACTTGAACAATGGGCCCTATCCCACAAAATGAATTTCAATGTGGAGAAAAGCAAAGTTTTACATTTAGGCAGGAAAAATCAAAGGCACAAGTACAGACTGGGCGAGATCTGGCTCAAAAACAGTAACTGTGAGTTACTGGAGTCCTAGTGGACGATCACTTGACCAGCAGTGTGGAGCAGCAACCAAAAAAGCTAATACAATCCTGGTTTGTATAAACAGAGGCATAGAATCAAGATCACGTGAAGTATTAGTACCACTTTATAAAACCCTAGTAAGACCACACCTGGAATACTGCAGCCAATTTTGGTCACCATACCACAAAAAAGATGTGGAGAGGTTACAAAAAATTCAGAGAAGAGCAACTAAGATGATCAAAGGCCTGGAGACTAAAACATACGAAGAACGGCTGCAAGAATTGGGTTTGGCTAGTCTAAAGAAAAGAAGAAATAGGGGAGACATGATAGCATTCCAGTACTTGAGGGGCTGCTACAAAGAAGAGGGGGTCACGTTATTCACCAAAGCAAAATGGGAAGGACGAGAAACAATGGTTGGAAACTGATCAAAGAGAGAAGCAACCTGGAATTAAGGAGAAACTTCCTGACAGTGAGGACAATTAACCAGTGGAATAGCTTGCCTCCAGAAATCGTGTGCACTCCATCACTGGAGATTTTAAAGAAGAGGCTAGACAGTCACTTATTTGATACAGTATAGGTTCTCCTGCTTGAGCAGGGGCTGGACTAGAAGACCTCCAAAGTCCTTTCCAGCTCTATTCTATTCTATTCTATTCTATTCTATTCTATTCTATTCTATTCTATTCGTCCTCTTTCAGAAGCTTTTATACTGTGAAGCATGATTTTTTCTGGACTGCTTGCAAGGGTTTAAAACTGGATGCATGGTGTTAAGCTGTTTCTGTTCCTTCCTGAATGGGATGGGCCAGAGGGGAGTGTTGGACCCAAAGGCACTTCATTTTCTCCTACCTTCTTCAATATCTGTACAGAACTATCAATTTGGAGTGAAGTATCATCAATACGCTGATCGTGGGAGAATTCTAATAGAATAGTAGAAACATTTGCTCTTTCTTTTCTGATTATCTGCACATAAAGATAATTTGGAAACTAATATCAGGCATTTTAGGAAGAAGATTTCTTATGACCCTGTGGTTTTTATTTAAGAAAAGTTTGGCACTATCATGAATACTGTAAATTGGCTATTAATACCATCAGGATTTTAATTGCTGGGAAATGGAAATCTAGTACTATCCTCACATTATTATTACATTAATAAATCACAGCCTGTAATTAATGGCATTAAAAGAACTTAGCAGGTATAAATGAATTAAATGGCAATAGTTGAAGTCACTGCAGGATGCATTATAGAAAGATTAATTTAGCTGGTCATATTTTATTTTATTAGTAAACTGTCAAGTTCTACTAAATGCTTATGGAGTATTAAATATCTTTTTAATTTTAATTTTCCTTTATACAGTAAGGGAAATTTGAAACATTACCACTGATTGCCTTGTGGGAAATTTCCCTTAAAAAAGAAGAAAAGGAAAACAGATGACCCCCACCATAGAACCAGCTTTGCTGGACTTGCAGCAGCAACCCCTCTCTCTAGCTGAATCTCTAAGAATGATCATAGCATGTTTGCTTTAAATAACATGTATGGTATTCCTAGTTGTAGCTGTTACATTGTTTATAAACTTCTTTGGACAAATGATTATAAAAAGTGGGATATGAGTAGCTGTAATAAATACTAATGAATTGTTTTTAATTATTAATGCAATTTATTTTAAATATTCAATTCAAAAAGAAGAATGAAAATCTTTTCTTTTTGTAGCATCCATATCCAACAGAAGATGAGAAAAAACAGATAGCAGCACAAACAAATCTTACCTTACTTCAGGTTAACAACTGGTAGGTTGAACAGATTTATTTTATAGTTCTATCTCCTTCCTTCTGAGAAACTCAAAGTAATGTAATTGTACATCTCATATTTTACCCCCTGGAACTCTCTGAAATATGTTGACTTAACAAAATAACTGGCCCCAAATCACCTGTGATCAAATGGGAACTTAAATTTTAAACTGGGTCTCAGTTCACTGGCATAATTGCTGTAAAGGTAAAGGTTTCCCCCATTCAGTTAGATCTAATCAAGGGGGCAGTGCTCATTTCTGTTTCTTAGCCGAGGGAGCCAGTGTTATCCAAAGACATCTCCATGGTCATGTGGCCAGCATGACAGTATGCTGAGGCGCACAGAATGCTGTACCTTCCCACTGAAGTGGTATCTATTTATCTACTCACATTTGCATGCTTTTGGACTGCTAGGTAGGCAGGAGCTGAGGCAAGAATGGGAGCAAGGACTGTCACACGGTGATTGGGTCTTGAACCGCCAAACTTCTGTTGACAAGCCTAGCATCTTAACTGCAAGGCCAGCACGTCCCTTTATAATTTCTGTACTGCATGTTTATTTTCTGGAAATTCATAGTCTGTGAGAAAAAAGCAGTTGTATTTTGCAACAGAGAAATTTGGATAGTGTTGGCAACATGTAATTGACCTCATAAAGCCAAATGGGAAATATTAGGCTGGGAATTTGAAAAAGCATCTTGGGAGAAGGAATTGACAAATTACCTCAGTTCAGGCTCGAACCACCTAGCCTGGAGATCCTTTATAATACATACTTAGGGCTGGTTAGCTTCAATGTGCATTATGATACTGACAAGAATGCCTTAAGGAGTTCATTATGGCATTCCTCAGATTGTTGGATGCAACCCAGTTTGAAAGACCTTTGGTACATGGTGAGAGAATTCCCAGACAACTGGGAAGATTTTAACACATTGACCAATCTGGATGCCCTTCAGCCACTTTTGCAGGAGAAGGCTGCTCTAAGGATGGGGAGGAACCTGCAAAGCAGAACCACAGAAAGGAATATGATAGTTTGCTCATAGAGGAAGGAGAGTTGTTCCTTGTTGTTTTTCCAAGGAGCTCTGACTTAAAACTTTGCTCAAACCTTTATCAAAGCAAGTATCCCTGTCAAAATAATAAAATTGTAGGTTTGATTTAGCCCAAGATTTTGATTGATTGGTGGTAAATTGTGAAAGATTGATTTATTAGTAATTGTATGGAAATGTAAGAATGTGGCCATATTTTAAAAAGACTCAAAATTATTTGTGGTCTCTTTTGAGAAGAAAAAGTTTAAATATAGACCTGAAATTGTAAAGTGCATCAGTAAATAAGAAAATCCAGCTGAGAAGCACTTATACTATTTTTTGCTCAGTTGTTTAGTTTAAAAAGTCCTAATTAGAAAATACCAAATTTCTATAGTTAATTTGGAAGTTTATGTTTTGCCCTTGTGTAGGTTTATCAATGCTAGAAGGCGAATTCTCCAGCCAATGTTGGATTCCAGCTGTTCTGAAACACCAAAAACAAAGAAAAAAACAGCCCAAAACCGACCAGTTCAGAGGTTCTGGCCAGACTCCATTGCATCAGGAGTAGCTCAGCATCAAACTAATGAACTTACTATGTCAGACGGTAAGCAGATGCTTTACTTCATTAAATAGCTTTAAAAAACGGCTTTGTTTTTTACTTTGCTGATTGATGAGCCAATTAGTAAATATTTTATTCAATTTCTTTGTATGAAGCCTACTGAAAATAATGAATTAATATAGGTTTATTTTACTAAATACATTTTCATGGACTACATTTTCATAGAAAATAGAAATGATTAATATCTGCCAAAGAGGAACTTTCTTCCCTTTCATGATCAGACAAATATATTTATAGTGGTGCATTGAAGCTAAATATCCCTGTTCCGATATTTAATTCCGTATGTCACAGCTTTAATATATTAGCTTAACTACTGATGTCCAACTTAGTATGTAAATAATTGCTCCAGATGTTGCAAATCTTGTAATGCTAGTTTGAGGTAGTAATGCCTTAACACTTCCAAAATTCTGAATTCTTATTTAGTCCAAACTAGACTAAAACAAAATGAACACAATGTCATTAAAGTGACATACTGAGGAAAAGAATGGACTAGATGGTCCGTGTAATTGTAATTCATTTCCAATTGTTAAATTTACAGCATTCAATCTAAAACTTTATTTTGGTTTATTTAAGAAAATAAGATGAAATGAATATTTCAGAATGAGTTGTGGGTTTTTAAAAAAAATATCTAATTGTTTTTTCCAATTGGACCTCTACTTTTCTCCATTTTTAGGAGCTGTTGTAACAATTACAGCTCCCGTCAACATGAATGTGGACAGTCTCCAATCGCTTTCATCTGATGGTACTACTTTGGCTGTTCAGCAAGTCATGATGGCAGGGCAAAGTGAAGATGAATCTGTAGACAGCACTGAAGATGATGGAACAGACCTCTCAACTACAAATATCAGTGGGCTGGTCTTGGATAACAGTGATTCTCTGCAATAGGAAGCAAGAGAAGCTGACCTAAAATATTAGGAAAGACAATGAACTGACTGACTTTTTATAGTTTGCACAGCAAACATTTTACACAAGTTTTATTTCTAATAAGTTTTATATGTAGATATAGAAGAGTGCACTTTTTTGTATTTCATAGTAAGCTTAAAGAGTGTCTTTGCAGGTGCAGCAACTTCTTTCAAATGTGTTGTTTTTTGCTTTTAATTTTGAAAATCTAGTAAGTTAAAAAAATGATCATCCCATTTGTTTTCCTAACGTTATTATCTCATTCACACACAAAAAAACCTGAGTCAAGCTGAGTCAAAAAATGTGTATAATGGGGTTGCAGATATGGGGTAAAATGGTGGTTGCCTGGAATGTGAGTTAGTTTTACATTAGCATGGATTTAAACTTCACCAAACCAGACAATCACCGTGTTACTCATTTCTTTGCTGTTCTATAGCATCATAAGATCTGCAGTTTTCAAACATATAAAATTGCACTGCTATGAGAGAACTGAAAGTACTTTTATTTCATTGAAAGTAATCAGTTTCAGTTCTGTAATTTTAACAAAGGTGATTTATCAATGTAAATGTAAAGCATGTCAAATAATGTATGGGATTTGTTTATGAAGTTAGCCATGTAGATTTGAAAGATGCTTCTGCACCTTAAAAAAAAAAAAAAACTAAACGCCCTGTCTAAAGTGGGCAACATAATACAAAAAAGAAGAAGTGAAAATGTGTGATTCCTTAAGAATGCATGGCATTTACTATAAACTTAATTTCTTCAGGAGTTAGGTGGACAACTCTAGATCTCATTGTACCTTTAAAATTTGCTGTTGATTTGGCTATCACAGCTTCTTTCTCATCAAACTTTTCTGCTTTTTTCCATTTGCCCAGTGGTTTCTTTTCTTTTCTTTTTTCAGCAAATAAGGTGAGGTTAGAATGGCAATACAATAAATAGAAGAGCCAGAAGAAACCATGATTGTAGCTGTCTTCAGATGATTCATTCCAGTTTAGAATTCACCATGTAAGTAGCAGCAAACTGTCTTGGTAGTAGTGGTGACATCACTGAAGAACTGGTTTCCACAAGAGTATAGATATTATGATTGTCTACAATATGGAGTTTGACAATGCATGGTTCCAGTTTTCAAAAAAATCTTCACATATATGAGAAGGCTTCCAACTACTAAATCATGCTGTATTCAAAGATAACTATTAGTTGACATTACAGCATGACCTAAGGCAGTGTTTCTCAACCTTGACAATTTTAAGGCATGTGGACTTCAACTCCCAGAATTCCACAGCCAGCAATGCTGGCTGTGGAATTCTGGGAGTTGAAGTCCACATGCCTTAAAATTGTCAAGGTTGAGAAACACTGACCTAAGGAGTGGAAGGTTTATTAACCATTCTTCATATGTTGGTTCTAAGTGAGAATCTCCTGCCTGAACAGGTATTCTCTTATTTCAGTTCAAGAATACATTTAAAGGTACAAGAGATGCTATAAGGTGTACTCCTAGCTAGTGTGTCTGTCCATTGTTTGCTATAAAACACTTATTTTTACCTTTATCAGGATTCTTGGATGAAAAATATTTTTATAAATTCTCTAATTGGACGGATGACTGTATTAAGCATGAAGAAAAAATGTTTAGTACTACTATTTGAAAAGTTATGAAAACTGTCCAAATTGAATAAACATGCCTACGTGACGTCCTATGGTTCTCTGCTATCCCATAATGGTACAATTCATAGTAATATATTAAGGCTTATTCCTTAATGGGAAGCTGGATACTGGTCAGCACTTTATTATTTCACACAAACTACCATTCAAATTATATCTGGGGCTGCCACAAAGAAGAGAGAGTGAAGTTATTTTTAAAAGCGTCTGAAGGCAGGACAAGAAGCAACGGGTGGAAATTAATCAAAGAGAGAAGCAACCTAGAACTAAAGAGAAACTTCCTGACAGTTAGAACAATTAACCAATGGAACAACCTGCCTCCAGAAGCGGTGAATGCTCCAACACTGGAAGTTTTTAAGAAGAGACTGGACAGCCATTTGTCCTGAATGGTATAGGGTTTCCTGCCTGAGCAGGGGGTTGGACTAGATGACCTCCAAGGTCCCTTCCAATATTATTATTATTATATTTCATATTGAATGCTATCTCACAAGAGTAGCTTTTCTCAACTTGATGCTTTTTAGATGTTTCGGATCTTTTAGCCCCCAGAAATCCAAGACAACAGCATTTAAACTATGATGGATGGAAATTCTATGTTGCAATCCCAACAAAGAACACCAATTTGGGGAAGACTGTTGAACAGTGATATTCAGGTGAATAAAAATGCACAGTCTCTATTATAGTTTTAAAAACTCATAACAGTATACATACTTCACATCAATTGACAGTGTGCAGATATTTTCTTCTGGGTTACCTGTAATTTTTGCCCAGTTTACTGCATCTCAGATGTTATGTACTGTATTCTGCAGCTTTGATACAAATAAGGTAAGATAAAGTCTCCTTTTAATTGAGCTTGATTATGGTGATTTCACGAACATATCCATCAGCTTTCAACAATATCACAGTGGTTGAATTACCTTCTTCCAATATGCTTTTTCCCTTCCCTAGTAACCTATGACACTGGTATTTCCTGCCACTTTTTCATCCAAATACTTTTATAGGCTTTTTAATCTTTTAAATTAAGAAAAGCCCTCACTGCTAATTCCATCCAGGGCATGCATCCAACTTCTTTTGGTTGAAGTCCCTAGTTTTGTTGACAACATCTAGTGTAAACATGTACCATTAGAAATATTTGTACCAGTAGCATAATCAAATGCTGGGATACATTTTTGAGAGTTGGCATGACAGATATGAAGAATAGGGCATTGGATTTTCAAGTCCATTATCTGAAGTATTAAATAAATTGATTATAATTAATGCAAGATAACAATGAAGCATTTGCTTTAAAATATACAGTGTTGTCTTTTCCAGTTCTATTATTTGTAAAAGGTTGTATTTTCAGCAGGGGCATGAATATTTGATAGTTTTCGAAATCTAAATTTGAAAATTTGGTTTTTCTTTTGATATATTGGAAATGGGCTAGAGAATGATTCATCAATATTTTTACATGAAATCTCTGAATTCAAAACACCTATGTTCTCTACCTTGTGTTTAAAAACAAACTATCAAATTACCTTGATAAACATTCATTGTTTTGATCATATTTATTTTTTCTCTATTGTGGGTTCTGTATAATGCAACTATCAATATTGTTTTAGTTTTCAAAATTAATTGCAGTGAAACGAGATATTTTTAAACTATGGAGAATTTTTCAAATTGCAACTGTTCTGATTATTGACAATATTCAAGGCCAAAAAAATAAATTGTATTAATTTTTTATTGGCTAAGGAAATAAAACTACACATTAATTGAACACAAGTAGGTTGAAAGACAATTTTCAAAGTATTTTCTTAAATAAAAAAGACCATTAGAAGCATTTCACTATTCTGCACTTTTAGTTTCTATTTTAAACAACAATTATGATTTATAGGTTCCTTCCACAATTCCCATAAATTAATGAAAGCAATAGACCATCAGCCCGTCAGTTTTTATTAATGGAAACCAAGTTGCTGTTTTAGGCACCAGATACACAACACTTTCTGAAAGTCTTGTCAGTTTCAAAAGAAGTTTTCTATGAAACATGAGAAGCTACTATTCTGAGTTTTGTAGAAGAACTGCATAGTTGTTTCTGAAAGGCACAGATTGGCTTCCTGGAATCCAGCATTAAAGCAATTGGCCAAGAAAACTGCTCAGGAAACTTATAATTATAATTTATAAGAGTCACTTTAGTAAGTGACTAAAAATAAGGTGACCAACTTTTTTACAATGAGAAGGAGGACACAAATAAATTGAAGAAAATATCGTAAATAAAAAACATTTTATTCATTGCAACAATAATACAGAATACACTATAATATGATTAAATAGATAAAGAATTAATAAAAAGTTAATTGTGCTTATCTGTGTATGATTGAATATTCACTGAGAAAGAAGTGAGTCTAATGCGTGCGTGTGTGCCATGTCATGTTTTGGTAAGAAGTAAACAAAGGCACTTGCGCATGGCGCACTCTTGCATACGGCACACTCAAAACAATTCTGTGCGGAGCGCATGTGTCTCATAATCGCATCTCACCGCACTGTACTGAGCCTTGATGAATCGTCATGTCAAATACAAATACGTCACATCACACGCAAAGGATGGGATCGGCATCGATCGAATACAGAGATTTACAGATTAGTCTTCAAATATCGAAAAGAAGGATATGTAGGAGGACACTTTTCGAGAGAGGACAGAACTTACAAAAGAAGGACTGTCCTCCCTAAAGGAGGAGGATTGGTCACCTTACTAAAAATTCATCTGAATTTTGATCATGTGAGCATAGGAATGCTGCAACGGTTGTAAGTGTAAAAAACTATTCTAAGTCACTTTTTTTAGTGCCGTTATAATTTTGAATGATTAGTAAATTAATTGTATTACCTATATTCTATCCCTCTCTTGAACCTGAAGACATCTAGTAGCTGTTAATAGTAATAGACAACAGGACCATTTTTCAGAAAATGGGGGCCTTCATCATAAGAGATAATGCCTTGGAAATTCAAAAAATCCCACCCTTTTTGTTGAATATTAACAGTTATCTTCTAAATCATTTTATATTAATATAGAAAAGGGGTAAGATGATGTCGTTTATTACAGAGACAATTTTTATGCAGAAAACATGTTCAAATTGTAGTTAGGTTTTTATCCTGACAGTGTTTCAGGAAATAAAAACAGGGTTGTTCATCTTTATTTCAAAACCTTTTCCTTGTATTTAATAAGCACCATATGCCACCTCTCTCAAAGAAAAAAATATATGCAAAATAGCACACGCACACATTTTATAAACAAAAAATGCTATCAATTGGCTTTTTCAAAAGGATGAGAGAATTTGAGATCTCAAATCTCACTGGAATTTCAGTATTTTTTCAATGCAGTCCTAAATGGTGAATTAAGTAACTAGAAATGCATACCTGGAAACCCTTATTTTTTAGGTGAAGGTGCAGTTTCACTAGAACATACCCTTTAAACCCCAGTTTTATTATCTGTGACCATGATGAGTTATTTCATAACTGGACTGTTTTATGCAGACTAATGCTGCTTTCTGTACTGCGAACACCATCTGGATAATGTCTGGATCATGCATCACTGTGCAAGCTGGTCTTTCTATTATCAGAGTTGGGTTCACTTAAGAATGCTAATAAAGGCCTTGTAGTTTCTCCTATGTAGAAAAAATGCTGACTATAGTGAAGAGAAGTCTTTCTAGCATGTTACTCTCAAATAAGTTACTCTGATTGTGGCATGGAAGGATTATGGCAGTTGAAATCCAATATATTTGAAGGGTAACAAAGAGAAGACTTACACAAAATACAGCAGTTTTCAAGAGATCAAGTTTATTAGTTCAACACATGAATCTCCACATGCCTAAATATTCTGAGCTTGTATTTACTATGCTCATATGTTTACCTAACATTTGAAAGTATATTGCAACTTTCCACCTTCTGGTGGACACTTACAAATCTTACATTTTTCTGTAATAGTATTATCAGCAAGTATCCCATAGCAATTTCCTGTGGTTCAAGTGCAGAATGGACAAC